GTTCTGCTTTGCTACTAATTTTCTGTACATCCATCAGTGCCGTGAGGTTATTGTCCTGTGGAGACCTACATCCATTTGTGTACTGTGACTTTCCCTTGTTTACTTCCTTTGTAAAAATTTTTGCTATTTTCTTGCTAAACCATACAGATTCTTAAACATTGAATACTCTTATCACTAGGAGTCATCTGAAATATTCCCTTGCATCTTGTCTCCTGTTGGACCCCTGTATTTGATTGTGGATTTGCAGAGGACTRTGCATTCTCAAAGCTTGTCATATTATTTTAATGGTCTGTGATGCTGTTAAATGTGTTTTTGTTTTGCATTTATCCAAATGCACAGAATTGATCTGTTCTTTGATCTAAATCTGGCCGATTCTTCTGTAAAGCGCTTTTGCCTGTGTGTCTTTGTTCTCTGCCGAAGTCCACTCAGCAAAAGGGGCCCTTTCTCCTCCTGGCACCCGTTCCTCTGTCCCTCCCTTTAGGACATTGCTATTATTGCTTTGTGCCCCAATCTCTGCTGTTTGTTCCTATTTTTAGGTCTGCTTGAACAGACTGTGTATTTCCCGTGGTGTTCTCTCTTTCAGATGAGCGAAGCACAATTGTAGTTGCGTGATCGCTTCTTGTCTCTCCCCTTTTCATCCAGACWTTCTCTTGGGGTTCCTGCTAACTGRAAGTTTTCAGCTTCCCCTGTCCATCACTTGAGTAGGAAGCTCCTCCAGGGTATTTTACTGCTGTGTTTTGCATTCTGCACAATTCTTGTCMTAAGTYTTGCTTTGCTCATGTTTATTAGCTTAGCCTTGGTTGTTTACCCACTGTTGATTGCTGATAGACCTAATCCAGTTTGTCCACACACTTCCCTTATCACCAGCTGTGATTCCACTGTGTGCTTGTGGGAAGGTGGGCTTAATGGTTTCCCTGAGATCTTTAACTTTCCTTTTTATTCACTTTCAGCCTCCTATACATGGAGTTTAACTGCAATGCTTTGTGGTAGCCACTCTGGTATCTTACTCTGTGGCCTCATAATTTGGTGATCATTCTGTGGCTCCCCTGTTCTCACTGATGCATTATTCTGTGCTTTTCTTAATGTTCTTTTTTTCTTTCCTCTTAGAGGGACACGATGGTTTTCTGCACAACCCTGCAGTGCTCTCCCTTGGTACATTATCAGTGTTTTTGCATAGGAGGTCTTGGCTCGCAGCTCATTTCACTTGTTGTGAGCCTAATGCATAGGGCTGAAATAGATCACTTAAAATGTTTTGATTCCTTCTTGTAAAGGAAGGCATCTCTCATATTCTGCCCATCGGGTAGAATCAAAGTCAGTTTTCTTCAAACTTTTTGTTTGTTTGTTAAAAATAAGGAATAGCAGGAAGATATTTAGTAGCATAAGCAGTAAGTGATAAAGGCAGTGATTTGTCATGGAAYTCTTACTGGCCTGTAATCCTTTAGGTTTCTTCATTCTAATTTCCTTTCATGTRATTATTTCCCCTACCTGACAATTTGCTGTGYTTGGAAATGTCCTCTATTGGTTGTGTAGTTATGTGGTGATATCCTCACAAAGTGGAGCAAGGCTCATCATGTGCACTGCGTGGCTTCCCTCTCAACACAGTGGCAGCAAATTAAAATGCTGTCACCTTGTAGTAAATTGAAGGCAAGCTAATGTCATTATGTTTGTCCTGTTCTGCTCCATTATCAATATGTTGTGTTCAGCATTTCAAACTGTTTTTTTTGGGTTCTCTTCCTCTATTGAACCTGTGATTGCTCAGTAGACTTTGAATTTATTCATTGCTTTAAAGCAGTGCAGGCAGTGGTGCTGTGCTGGGATTCCTTGTCTTTCAAGGATCTCATGTGCTTCATATTTCCTAGTGTCTTGACAATATATTTTATTTTCCTTCTCTGTGTGTGGTGACTGTAAAGTTGGCATTGCAGGGCAGTGGCTGTACCAGCATGATCTTTATTTCCTTTTCTATTCTTCATTATGYTGCTGAGGTCTAATAAAAGTCAAATGTTCACACATGACTCATGAGGTTGCGTGACTGACCAATGCATCACGATCTCTCTTCAGCAGTGCTTGTAATTACCTGCCCTTGATCTACCATTACTGTGACMAGACTTGAGCTTTGGAAGCACAGCTCTGCTATGGGAACTTTGGGTACTGGCAGTCCAAAGTCTGGGATGAGGTGCTGCTCCTTGGTTTTTAATGCATGTTTACTAAAGGGAATTCAGTGAGTTGCCATGATCAGTARCAAGAAATCCATCTTTTTCCTAATAAATCTCTCCCCTCAGGGAAGTAGTGGTTTCTGAGCATATGAAACACAACTGTAATTATTTTTCTCCCTTTCAAGGGCCTTTTYTCTCATAGGAAATGCTTCCCTTCTTCTCTTAGTATCTCAGTATCTTTGYTAGATGTGAGAAGGATGAGTGTCGAGGACATTTTGATCTGAAGTGYTGGCATGGGTTTTTGAATTGCTGCTTCAGTGCATGTGCACAAACTGATAAAATTACWGCTTCAGTCATAGGTTAGAGGGCAGCTGGTGAACTGCACTGTTCATGTGTATCTTATACCTTCCTGCAGACAGTGGGATGTGCTAGAAAATCATACTGAAAAAAGGAAATCCAGCAACCTGCTGACACTTTTTTTTTTTTAAAGGCAAAGCTCTCTGGCATGGAGCAGGCTTAGAATTGTTCCCTGCTTTTAAAAACATTCACTTAATGGGGAATGAGGAATGGTGTGTGTGTGTGTTTGCACTCAAACTTGGTTAATGTATCAGCCCCAAAATAAAAGATTTTTTAGAAAATATTAACAATAAGTGAGCTATTCTCTCTTCTGAGCATGACTCTTTTGTAACATTTCATGAAATGGTGTTTAAATGTAATTATCAAAACAATTTATTCTTAMTTCTCAGAAAGTAATTACAGAAGCCCCAGGTGACTGAGACTTTGTGTTCCTGGTGCTATTAC